CCCCCCCCCCCCTAACCTGTCGTCAGTAGTCTCTTCTGCTGGGACCAGGAAGATACTCTGCTTTTTTTAAGGCACATGATATTTGCATTACTGTTTATCAGATCTATATTTTAAAGTAAGCATTGGGAGAGTAAAATATACTAGTTTCCAATAGTTTGAGTTAGTGTGTCTAGCTGCTGTCACACACCAACTCTATAGATCAAGAGCTGACTGCTGATCGCTCAGCTCGCAGCTTCTCCTGCAGAGAGTGGTCGCTGTCAGTCACCACTACCTGCAGGGATTTCCCCCCCTCTCTGTTCCTCCAGCACTCATTGGAGGGACAGACCAGGAGGGGGCAGGCACACCTGGATCTAAAGAGGCAGCTGTCAATCAGGCAGCAGGGGCAGATCTTAGAGCACACACTGTGATATGGGCACAGGCTGCAGGTGTTGCAGGAAGGAAATGTAATGTACCAGCATATGTTTTGTGTGTCATACGTTTGGGCAGGGAGCACATTGTCATCACTTTCTATGGGTGCTTTTTCCCCACAGATACACCACTGCTTGCCTCCGAGTTGACAGGGAACTGTAACGCTGCATGCGGTGTACACAAGCAGTTTTACCATTCCCTGTCAAACTCACCTTACCCAGTGGGGGTCCTGGTAACTGCCAATGCACTGAGAATACCTTCCACCAGCTCACAGCCCAGAGTGCAGAAGCAACAGTTGCCCAGCTCAGCAGCAAGTGAGGGAAGGAGGGATATAGGATATCCCTGCCCCCTCACCATTCTGCAGTTCTGCCACACCAGAACCAACGGTAAGGAAGGAGATGCGGTGTAGAGGAGGGCCTGGAGAGATGTGACTGGGGGGCTGACTGGAGAGATGGGATAGGGGAAGGGGCATTCGATTGCATAGCTAGATTCCTATTGGCTATTGCACTTTGCAATAGCCAATAGCAAACTAGCTACTGCTGCTCTCAATCAGCAGAGGGGGACCTGAATTTTTTATCAGGTCCTTTTCTGGTGATTGAAAGCAGCAGGGGGCGGGTGCAATAGCTAGTTTGCAAAAAAATGAAAGAAGCATAAAAAATGTTTTGAAGTCCCCGCCCCCCACATACACACGCAGACGTGCGAAAATGACGATTGTGCCGCACATGTTACATATCGCCGCACACGGAGTGAGAGCAATCATTTTAGAGCCATTAATCACTGATAACACTGAACTGATGAGCAGTAAAAGCGTTTTAATCGCCTCATATGGGCATTTTTTGCGATTTTGCAGCGATCGGCTTCATCAGCTTCTGTAGCTGGAGAGTGACACTGAATGCAGGAAGTGATGTAATATACATCACTTCCCGCATTCTGGGACTGAGAGGAGATCAAAGGGAGTTCGTATACTGAACTCCCTTTGATCTCCTGTCACAGAGCTGTGCCGGTCCCGGCCGCATCGGGCACAGCGGATCTCGGGACCGGCAATGGCAGTGACAGCTTCTGATACAAGCGATTGAGCGTCTATAGAGACGCCCGATCGCTTGACTGTAAAGCTGCCGGCCGTGTAATTACAACGGCCGGCCGGGAAGCTGCTCGTTGGGCTCTGCCGTCCTCTCGTCGTGGACGAGTGGATTTTTCAAGCCCTGTATGTATATATATATATATAATATTGTGTGTAAAATAAAAAAAGACTAGCTTGTTCCAAGTAAATAGATGTCAATTATTTCAAGCCTTTAAAAATGTGTACGTCCGTGAAATGGTGAAAAACAACAGTACCATAAATTGTAGAGCTTGAAAGGGATTTACAGTTCATCAGTTTATTGTGAACCGTGAATAATGGCCATAAAATTATTGCTTACACTTTTTCAACATTTTTATATTGCTGATAAACCCCCTATTTGATTGCATAGTGCAGGT